TAGGACTTGAACTCTTGTACCTGCCACTGTTGATCATTGGCTAGCACTCTACCAATGGAGCCACGCCTCCAACCGCAGTTATATAGCTAACGGGATAAATTAGGAACTTCAGACTGGCACATCCAGTTTCCTTCATCCTATCACACAATTCTATTATTGTTTCACATAATGAAGCTTTGGTACATGTTATAAGGTTAGATCATTAAGAATCAGTCTCACAGAAACACAGGGACAAAGGGTGAGCAAAGGCAGCAATGGGCCTCGATAGACACTATGTTGAAAGTGAACTGTACAACTTGTGGGTAGGGATGGGGTGGACACTAGGAGAGAGGGAGGGAAGGGGGACATTGTTCAAAAAGAAATGTACTCGGGGGCTGGGAAGGTGGCTCAGTGGTAGAGCGCTTGCCTTGCATGCCTGAGGTCCTGGGTTCGATTCCGCAGCACCACATAAGCAAAAAGAATAAAAGCTGGAAGTGGTGCTGTGGCTCAAGTGGTAGAGCGCTAGCCTTGAGCTGAAGAGCTGAGGGACAGCACCCAGGCCCAGAGTTCAGGCCCCACGACCGGACCCAAAAAAGAAAAAAGAAATGCACTCATCACCTGAATTATGAAACAATAACCCCTCTATTCATCACCTTTATAATAGCACTTTCTTAAAAAAAATTAAAAAGGGATTGAGAGGGCAGCAGTTCTAGGCCAGCCCAGACAAAAAGAATTCATGAGACTTCTATCTCAATCAGTAAGCAGGTGTGTTGGCACACAGCTGTCATACCAGCTACAGCAGGTGTACATGAAAGAATCATGGTTCAGGTGGGTCTGTGCAGAATTTCAAAACTCTATCCAAAAAGTAACTGAAAATAGAAGGAGCTGAGGGTTTGTCTCAAGGGGTAGAGCACCTCCCTAGAGGTACAAGGCCCTGAATTCAAACCCCACTGTTGCCAAAAAAAAAAAAGGAAGAAAGAGTTGTCTTGGCTGTGCATCAGTGGTTCACACCTGTAATCCTAGCTATTCAGGAGGCTAAGATCTGGAAGATCAAGGTTCAAAACCAGCCCTGGCTGAAAAGTCTGAGAATTTCCAATTATACAACAAAGAGTCAGATTGAAGAAGTGGCTCAAATGGTCAAGTATTAGCTTAGCAAGCCTGAGGACCAGAGTTCAAACCATGATACAGGAGAAGGGTAAGGGGAGGGAGAGGTCTAGAAGGCAGACTTTCTTAAAATCGATCTGGAAATCTGGAACACATGCTTATGATATCTTCATCCTTTGGAATTGTCAGAGTACAAATATCATGAGACATTTTCTTATTTTAACTCAATTTAAACACATACATTTTAATGTTGAATGAACAGGAAAAGATACTGCAAAGGTGATTCTTGTATCTAGACTATATGATCTTTGAGTGCCATCCAAACTTTTTCTGCAGAGTCTCATTCTAAATAGTGGAGGTAGGGGTCAGAGGCATGGCTCAGGTGGAAGGGTGCCTGCCAGTGAATGAAATCATCAAATACTGAGTTCGTGTCCCACTTTCAGAAGGAAGAAGGAAGGAAGGAAGGAAGGAAGGAGGGAGGGAGGGAGGGAGGGAGGGAAAGAGAGAAAGGAAAAAGAAAGAAGGAAAGAGAAAGGAAGGAAGGAAGGAGAGTTGGGTGCTGGTGGCTCATACCTGTAATCTTAGATACTCAGAAGGCTGAGATCTGAGAATCACAGTTCAAAGCCAGCCCATGCAGGAAAGTCTGTGATACTCTTATCTCTAATAACACACCAGAAAACCGAAGCATGAAGGGAAATACACCGCAGATATTACAACACAAGGCCCATTCACAACATAGGCCAAAGCCCATCCACAAGAACAGGCTACAAAGCCCACTGACAGTTTGTTACCTTCAACCTGCTACATAATATACTAGAACGTTACACTGATGACTTACATCTTCCAGATACATTCAGGGAGCATCACTAGGTTCAATGAGTGATAGAGCTATAAACTGCTCCCCACCTCACCTTACATATATGAAAACATGCTCGGGCTTGAGGACCACCAAGGCAATAGCGGGTTCTTTGACTCAAACTCCAAAGACTGCCCAAGACTCTGCATCTCCTGGAGCCTAAGAATTTAAGAGATTTTCTACTTAATATCACTTCCTAGTGAACTGTGGTCTGTTTGAGGTAAACTATGAAATATATAAATATATATATGAATGACATTATATTTATATATGTGAATGACTTTAGAAAATAATTGTAATTTAATTCAATCTCCAGGCAGATGAGAGAAAAATAAGAGGTATTATACAGAGAAAAATGTTGGAAGTAAGCTAGACACCAGTGGCTCACACCTGGAATCCTAGCTACTCAGGAGGCTGAGATCTGAGAAGCCAGCCAGCCTAGGCAGACAAACCCAAGAAACTCTCATTGCCAATTAACAAGCAAAAAGCTAAAAGTGGCACCAGCCTGAGCCAAACAGCCAAGCAAGAAAACAGGGTTTGAGCTCCAGTACCAGCACATAAAAGAAAAAAAACTGTAAGTAGTTTTCAATTCAAATGGACTTTCAAGGACTATTTTATCATAAAATATTGTAAAAGAGATTCTATTATTTATTACAGTAGTCACTGAATCAAACCCACAAATAATAACAAAGAATAAATATTGGGAATGTTCTAAATGCCACTGAATTATACACTTAGAAGTGATTCCTTCTGTAATATGAATTTTATCTCAGTAAGAATAAAAGAAGGAGAAAGTCACAAGTAAATATGTATATTGGTGGTAGGTGCCAAAGAAACAAGAGCATTTGCTAAGTAACAAAATTCTGAGGTTGTCTAACCAAAACATATTAACAATTTAAAAAGTCATATATTTGAGATTAATGGACAAGACTTGCTTCAAAAGATTAACGGAGAAAAAGAAAAACATGGAAGGTGGGAAACAGTTGAACAGTCTAGCTAAACAAAGTCAGCTCTAAACTAGTAAGTTTTTTTCTTGTTTTTTTCTTTTCTTTCTTTTTTTCTAGTCCTGGGGCTTGAACTCAGGGCTTAGACACTGTCCCTGAGCTTCTTTAGTGCTCTACAACTTGATTAACAGCTTTACTTCCTAAGCTAGTAATTTTTGAAGCTGGTGGTTTATTCCTTTCACTGTGGTCCCTGTTTAAATAGTACAGACACAATGTGTAGCGCTGAAGACATGTAAGAAGCTTACAGTGAACCTATAGCCACCGTCTCTTCGATAAGGGAGCTAAAAAAAATAGAATGGAAGAAAGACAGCCTCTTCAGTAAATGGTACTGGCAAAATTGGTTAATCACTTGTAGAAAACTAAAGCTAGATCTTTATATATCACCCTGCACCAGAATCAATTCCAAATGGATCAAAGACCTCAGAGTCAAAGCAGACACACTGAAAACATTACAGGATGGAATAGGAGAAACCATATGTCTTCTTGTCACAGGCCCAAATTTTCTTTTTTTTTTCCAAATGTTCTTAATAGAGACCCAGAAACACAACAAATCAAAGAAAGGTTGGACAAATGGGATTGCATGAAATTGCAGAGCTTCTGCATGGCAAAGGACATAGCTAGCAAGATCAATAGAAAGCCCACAGATTGGGAAGAAGATCTTTACTAGCTATACAATTGACAAGGGTCTCATATCTAAAATATATCTGGAACTCAAAAAATTAAATCCCTCAACAACAAATCCTCAAAGAAACAACTGCCCAATAAATAAGTGGGCTAAAGACTTAAAGAGAAACTTCTCTGAAGAGGAAAGAAGGATGGCCAATAGACACATGAAGAAATGCTCAACCTCCCTAGCCATAAAAGAAATGCAAATCAAAACAACATTGAGATACCACCTCACCCCAGTTAGAATGGCTAAAATCAAGAACTCTAATAACAACAGATGCTGGAGGGGATGTGGACAGAAGGGAAGCTTACTGCATTGTTGGTGGGAGTGTAAACTTGTTCAACCACTTGGGAAAGTAGTATGGAGGTTTCTCAAAAGACTCCACATAGAGCTCCCCTATGACCCAGCAATCCCACTTTTGGGCATTTACCCAAATGATCACAAACAAGACCACACTAAAGCTACCAGCACAACTATGTTTATTGAAGCATTATTTACCATAGCTATGAATATGGAACCAACCTAGATGCCCCTCAGTAGATGAATGGATCAAGAAAATGTGGTATATATACACAATGGAATTCTATGCCTCCATCAGAAAAAATGACATTGCCCCATTTGTTAGAAATGGAAAAACTTGGAAAAAATTATATTAAGTGAAGTAATCCAGGCCCAAAGAAATATAGGTCCCATGGTTTCCTTTATTTACAATAACTAGTATATGTCTGAGACAAGCAGAAAAGCTCAGATAAGATGATGTTAAGCAAAATGAATCCCAAAATAAGGACACAAGTGGGTTTTTTTTCTTTCTCGCATTGTTTCTAAAGTATTTATAAGGTACCATGTGATTTTTTTTGTTGCTTTGTATGTCCCTCCCCCATGGTATAACCCCTGTTTTCACTGTATTTGATATTGATATAATTTAGGGAGAGGAAGGGAAAAAACAAATAGTTTAAATAATGATACAGGTGGACTCACTGCAACAATGAGATGTACAAGATGCTATGTCAAAAAATGAACTTTGCAATTTAGGTGGGGGGAGGGTAGTTGTGGAGATGGGAGGGAAGGGATGGTAGGGGAAAAACAAAGGAGGAAGCAACAATGCTTGATAAGAAATGTACTCATTACCTTGCTCATGTAACTGTAACCCCTCTGTACAGTATTTTCACATAAAAGACTTAGTTTAAAAAAAGAAGTTTACAGCCAAGCAGAAAACCAGCAAAATTATCATCTTCTGTGATGATCCTCGAAACATCTGTCTTTGATGTTGCCCATCATTAGCTATTTATTTAGTTACCAAGGAAGCTGAAGCCCTTTTGTAATGTCTCATTCCTACAGACTTCCTACATAGCACATTCTATAGAGCATAAGTTCTAAGGTGGGTACATACCAGAAGAATCATGGGTCTTTTCCAAGTGGTTAACCCTATGATCCCAGACAGAATTACCTGTAAGAAAAAAGAAGAAGATTACCTAGGCAGCAGTGGCTCACACCTGTAATCCTAGCTACTCAGGAAGCTGAGATCTGAGGATAGCAATTCAAAGCCTGCTCAGGTAGGAAAGTCCATGAGAGTCTTACCTCCAATTAACCACCAGAAAATTCTTAGTGGTGCTATGGCTCAAAGTGGTAGAGCACTAGCCTTGAATAAAAGAGCTCAGGGACAGCACCCCTGAGTTCAAGCCTCACAACTGACCAAAAAAATGTATTCATCACTTGACTTATGAAATGGTAACCCCTGTGAATATCACAAAAGAAAGAAAGAAAGAAAGGCAGGCAGGCAGGCAAGCAGGCAGGAAGGAAGGAAGGAAGGAAAGAAGGAAGGAAGGAAGGAAGGAAGGAGAGAGAGAGAGAGGTGGGGGAGGAGGGCTAGGGAATGTGGCTTAGTTAGTGGTAGAGTGCATGAAGCCCTGGGTTCAATTGCTCAGGACCACATAAACAGAAAAGGCCAGAAGTGGCACTGTGGCTCAAATGGTAGAGTGGCAGCTTTGAGCAAAAGAAGCTAAGGGGCAGTACCCAGGCCCTGAGCTCAAGCCCCAGGACTGGAAGAAAGAAGAAAGAGGAGGAAGAGGAGGAAGAAGAGGAGAAGGAGGAGGAGGAGGAGGAGGAGGAGGAGAAGGAGGAGGAGGAGGAGGAGGAGAAGAAGAATTAGAAGAAGAAGAATTAGAAGAAGAAGAATTAGAAGAAGAAGAAGAAGAAGAAGAAGAAGAAGAAGAAGAAGAAGAAGAAGAAGAAGAAGAAGAAGAAGAAGAAGAAGAAGAAGAAGAAGAAGAAGAAAGAAGAAAGAAGAAAGAAGAAAAGAGAAGAGATGAATCAAAGGAATTCCTCAGGCCCAGGCACAGCCATCTGAGTGTGTCCTGGGGGCACATTTTACCCTGGTCACCAGTGTCTGCTGAATGCAGTTGGGCTTGGGTCTCGTTGATGGTACTTTTTCTTGCCAAGATCCCTCCCACATGCCAGCTTACCATCTCTGCTCATTAACTACAAGCCACACGTGCCCACGCCCACAAAGCAGAGGGCCCATCCCTCACAGCACCACATCAGGGAGGGAACAGATCTGCCTCTCAGTAGCAAAGACCAAACCCACACGTGGACAGGCAGGCAGCTGACTTCTCTTTATGGGTCTGGGTCTAAATGTCTTCTTATCTGTCTCCCAGGCACTGTACCGCTGCAGTCCGTTTACCTCTAACAGGATGCCACCTCCGGTTCCCCCAGCAACCTCTGCAGCTAAACACCCAGCGGCTGTGTCCCTCTCCACGTGTATGGGGGCTGTCTCTAGTTCTTCACACAGAGCCTTGAGACCCAGGCCAGACCATCCCTCCCCCAGTCAGCTTCCCAAAGTGAGTGCTCTGACCTTGGTCTCGTCATTCCCCATCTTTGGCCCTCAACTCTGGTTTCCTGAGAAATGTATCATAAGTGAAGGAAACCATCTCTGAGGTCTCTTTGAGCACAAACCTTGACCCCCATTGTGTGGAGGGATTGCTCAGAACTCTAAGACTCTAAGACCCAGCAAGCAGGCATATAGTAGGAGGTGTGTGTGTGTGTGTGTGTGTGTGTGTGTGTGTGTGTGCATAGATGAATGAGTGTGTGTGTGCATAGATGAATGTGTGTGTGCATAGATGAATGAGTGTGTGTGTGTGCATAGATGAATGTGTGTGCGTGTGTGTGTGTGTGCACATCCCTACATACCCTTCCACATGTGCAGGGGCTACTCACCCATCCACCCACCCTGCAGCCCACTCAACTTGGCCGAGACAATGCACGTAGCTTCTGTGAACACAGAGCTGAAAATTTCACTGCTCTGGAGGGAAACACACACTGCCGGAGATAACTGTTGATTTGAATTATTCATTGGTGTTTGTTACCAGTGTCTCTGAATATAGACCCCTGGGGTTCAGCTTTATGGAGAACTACTTTGGACATTCGAACAATGTTATTACCATGAAGTGTCCTGCTCCAAAGGTAAAATCCCATAAAATAATCTAAGCTGTACTCTACACATCCCCCATCTACCCATCTTTTCCAGGTTCACAGTTTTGTATATCTACACATTCCGCTATGTACATAGATGCTGTCTAAATCCTCAAGTGTGTGTGTCACTAGAGCTAGACCTCAGGACTTCATGCTCTTGTTTGGCTTTTTTACTCAAGGCTGACACTCTACCCCTTGAGCCACACCTCCACCTCTATCTTCTTGCTGGTTAACTGGAGATAAGAGTCTCACAGACTTTCCTGCCTGGGCTGGTTTAGAGTCTCAATCCTCAGATCTCAGCCTCTTGAGTAGCTAGGATTATAGGCATGTGCCACCAGTGCCCAGCATTTGCTCTTCAAATTCTCATCCACAAATACCCTCACTGGGATGAGTATGTATTCATAGGCACAGGAGTGTGATTTCTACAAAAGAAAAAAATGTATCATAAAATGTACACTGTTCTTGCTTCCTCTTCTTCTTGGCCAATAAATAGTTCAGGGAAATCTCTTTGAGGTCCTGTATTAGCTGTGATTCATGTCAGCTAAATGGCGGCAGAACACCCCATTATGTGGCTCTACACCACACATTCAGTCATTTCTATATTCACGAAACACTCATTTCTAGTTTTCCCTTCACAAACAATGCTGAGTAAATATCCAGGGACAGATATCTTTCAAAACAAGTGCTCTGGGCTGAAGGCATGGCTCAACAGGACAGAGCACCTGCCTAACAAGGACAAGGCCCTGAATGCAAACCCAGTACCACAGGGAAAAAAAAAGAGCTTTTATTTCTATTGAACAGGTGGATAAAGTATGAAGAATGGAGTTAAGGTAAAAGGTGTTTATATTTTTATTGTAATAGATTATGACAGATGTTAGTGTTATTTCAAATAAAGGGCCTTTGAGACCGAAAACAAAATAAGCCATACTCTTTATTTCTTCCTTGAGGAGTGATATTTTGTCAACATATACTAAGAACAAATCCCAGAAAATGTGTTTTTTTAATATGTATAAAATGAGCAGTAGCAGTGTGGCTCAAGTACTATAGTGGCAGCCTTAAGCAAAGAAGCCAAGCAAAGCCGGGTGCTAGCGGCTCACACCTGTAATCCCAGCTACTCTAGAGGTTGAGATCTGAGGATTGTGGTTCAAAGCCAGCCCGCACAGGAAAGTTGTGCCACTCTGATCTCCAAGAACCTACTCAGAAAAAGCCAGAAGTGGTGCTGTGGCTCAGGTGGTAGAGCACTAGCCTTGAGCACAAAGAGGCTCAACAACAGCTCCCAGGCCCTAAGTTCAAGCCCGAGCACCAGCAAAAAACAAAAAAAAGCCAATCAAGAGCAAGAGACCCAAAGTTCAAGTCCCAGTAGCAGCATGAATTTATATTTTATATAGCTCTATTATATTACATATAATAATTATATTACATATAATAATTGCATGTAATAATTATGTATGATATAGGTTGTATAACGTATAATACCATATAATTATTTTATGCATAAAATGTATATGGCAGATACAAATATTAATAATCTCAAAGTATAGTGACAATGATGCTCGTGATATTGGTGGAGAGAAATATAAAGTGGACAAAGCACGATTCAATGAAAAAGTCAAGATATATGCCAAATTCAGGGACTGGATGACAAATCCCCATCATCACTGTAAGAACTGCTGTTTCCTTGCTGTGGGAAACTGGGGCTGTAGGAAACTGCATCCCTGAGCCCCGCAGCAAGGGCACAGCTCTACCACTTGAGCCACAGCACCACTTCCGGCTTTTTTCGCTTATGTGGTGCTGAGGAATCGAACCCCGGGCCTCAGGCATGCAAGGCAAGCGCCTTACCACTGAGCCACCTTCCCAGCCCCCTATCCTCCTTTTCTGAAGCTCCATTCACCAGGCACGGTATCCATGCATTCCTCTGACTTCCAATTGGATATTGCTCCCTGCCCCGTGATAAGTGTGGTCTGTGCCTACGGTATTACACACGAGCTGATTGATTGGCCTTTCCCTTATGTAGGGCGGTTGCTATGCTTCCCTGATCCCAATGACTTCCTGTGCCTGGGGAGGAGAAAAGCTTAAATATAGACAAGAGGGGTGGAAATCTCTGGAATGAAAGCAGGAACGGAAGTGGTACATTGGAGATCCTTTTCTTAGTAGAAGCGTTCTAAGGTTTACACTCAAAACCTTAGATCTGCTCACCTGGCATTCTACCACTTGAGCTATTCTACCTCCAGCCATGTGTTTTTAGAGATGGAGGCTTGAGGACTTCTCTCCCTTGGCTGGCCTAGAATCATAATCCTCACGATCTCTCAGCCTGTGTAGCTAGGATCACAGTCATGAGCCACTAGCACTTGGCTGGAATGAGTCTTTAAAGAATTCAAGAACTAGGGAACGGATGCTCCCTCTGGTCTCCAGCAGGAATGGAACTCATGAATTCAATCCCTCATGAATTCAAGGAAAGAAAGAAAGAGGCAGAGTATCCTGTTGGGGCTAGAGCTTTATCAGAAAGGCGTCAAGTGGGCCCTCAGCCAGGGTCTTTCCTGGCTCCTATACACCATCTGACTAGGTGTTCAACTGACTCTCTCCAGAGGGTCTGGGCAAGTACAACTTGCTGGAGTACCACTAAAAGCTCCTAGGAGGAACTCAATGAGGGATCACAAAGGAGGGGAGGGAGGGAGGGAGGGAAGGAGGGAGGGAGGAAGGAAGGAAGGAAGGAAGGAAGGAAGGAAGGAAGGAAGGAAGGACAGAAATAGGAGATGAGCTTGCTTGAGTCACTGTGGAGCCTGGACACACTTTCTCCTCTTGTGCCTGAAAAAATACATCAACAATCCTCTTCCAGCCCCAGGAGCAGCCTGCCTGGAGTGATGTTCCAGCCTCTGGTCTCTACATGATTATCATGCGATTGCATGCAAATTTCCTTTCACTTAGTCATAAACTATTCCTTGTAGATTACAGTAAAGCAGAGACTTTTCCTTTCTTTTG